ACCTGTCGCTAACCTATTAATATACATAGGTTTATCAAAATGAAATGTAGAAAATTCATCAAAAGTAATGAAATGTGCTAATAGTTTGTTAATTTTATGCAATAATCACTGTTTAAGATAACCGTATTTGTGCACAGTTATGTTATTAAGTAATTTTAAAGGCCCCATTTCTATATATGTAGATGTTTTATAAAAGGATGTTGTGTAATTGTATAATAAAAAAGCCCCTTTAATATTTTCGATTCAGAAAAATTCACGTAACGATATGAAAAAAGATAAAAAGATATTACGCCTGCGGTATAAAGAAAATTATTCCTTTTATCACAGAAAATCAAATGAAACTAAAATAGGCGTGACATAGAGAATATGTTTGTTACTTTCTAAAAATAAAAAAAAATAAGGAAAGAAAATATATATTAATATTAAATTTAATTCCCAATTAGATTTTTGTATTTCCATAAAAGTATAGATGTAACGAAGTCTATTTTTGCGTTGGCACAGAAAATAATACTTTATTTCAAGAAGTTTGAACGTTGTTAAAATCGATATTTCTCTTAAAATTTATGGATTTTATTAAAGATGTGTCAGGAATATAATCTTTAATTTTAACACATTACATTTAATGGATTTCTTTGTATGGCGCGTGTCATTCTGGTTGTAAATAATTATTACGTTGTGTCATTCCCCGTGCCTTCTACACCTGCGGTTTTAATAATTAGAACGAAATTTTAGAAGCTAATTTAACATTGTTACACTTAATATGTTAATGATAAAAATATTTTTTTTTAACTTTAACTTGATATTACATTTATTAAGTTTATTAAATTTATTTTGCTATCAATTTTATCTCATTTTTGTTGTACTTGCAATGGTATAGATAATCGTTTAATATGTGTAATAATTTGGAACATTTAATTTATTAAACCTCTGGTTTGTGTTCTTCTAGAAACGAGACATTATTTTACCAACCACTTTTAAATTAGGTATTTGAGAAGTATTTTATTTCTAACTGGGACGAATCGACTTAGGAGAATCTTTCGCTTGGGTTAATGGCAGACTTTGGAGTTGTTTATTGATTCATCATGCCAAGCTATTATAATTAAATAATATATTTGTATGTATGTGTGTTACGGTATTGTAACTAAGCCTTTGGTTCCATAAGCATTTAATGGTCTATATTAGAACTAAATTGAAATCATGTTATAATAAAATACTGTTAAATTATACTGTTCTTATCGCCCTTTGGTTATGTAATGTTTTATGTATTATTATAATTCTCTACGTCTTGTAACATATTAAATAAGGTTTTAATAAAATTTCTCTGAATAATGTAACAACTAACTATTTATTTTCCATAGATATCGAGATTTCTAGAATGTATAATTACGATTTTTGGTTAAAGTAATATAAAAGTCGTTTGTAAAAACCTAAAACTCTAGTTTAGGCTTTACATAAAGTGCAGTAACAGCTACAAACAATTGATTCTGACGTAATTTAATTCTCATTCCTTATTGTTGTTTTCTTTAAATAATTCTCAATATATTCAAAATCCAAAACTAGTAAACATACAAATGATACACATATTATTCAATTGTTATCAAATGTATTCATGAAAACATAACAAATATGTATTTTCCTTCTGTTTTACGTCATTTAACTTATGGAAGTTGAGTTTCATCTATATGGTCTGAATCACTCGAAAAAACTTTCCATATTAATTACAACATATTTTATAACAGTACAGTCAATGAATAATGTTTTGGTTTTCGAGGTAAATTATTTTATTGGCACATGAATAACTAATATGAAATGAAATAACATATTGAGATTAAATTTTAAAGCTATGATCTTGTTAGGAAAATCGAATAAAAAATGGTTTATGAGACAAAATATAATTATATTATTTACTCTTTTTCCAAACACACTAAAATTATTCTAGAAGAGAGTGAATTGAATAATTTACATGGCAAGTGGGAAACCTTATTTTTTTTAAGTGACACAGTTGAAAATTATAACTGAATCAAGTTGAAAGCTTAGTTTTAAGTAATTGGTGTAGATTTTATTTTATACAATAACATTGTCATTATTATGTTTGTTTTTTCATAAAGCTTATTATCATGCTTCATTTTTTTTATAACAAAAATTGACTGAGGTCTTGGAAAACTTTGTTTGAACTAAAATCTATATACGGTTGATATATGTTTTAAAGGAGTGAAAATTCCAAATTTTTACAGCTCAGAAAAAGATTATATTGTCGTACTACATTAGGTTGACCGATACGTGGTGTTTTACGAATATTTCCCACTGGAAATTAGATTAATCATTATTTACTTAGCAATAATTGACAACATGTATTTATTAATTATTTATTTGCTTGTCACTTTACTAATTGTGTTCTTCTGTAGACATTTAAATATTCATGCAGTCATATATGTAGTAAAAATATAATATTATTGCAGTATACGAGTAGAAACTTCTATTCATAAGCTTTCGTTAAAAAGGCTTCAAATATTGACTTTGCTAAAAGAATAGCTGATTCGTCGCCTTATAACACTCTAATTAGTTTGAATTGGTTTCGAACTACCTATTTGAAAAATAATAATATCATTTTATACTCTAGCCTTAACAACTTTGACAGTTCTGTGAAATTGTTTTTTCACTAAATAATTTTTTAAACATTTACGTGTATTTATTACATTGCATTTTATTTTTCACAACTTTATACGCTTTAATATTTAGAAAAAGAACAGTAAAATACGCAATTTTTTAGTCCGTTTTTGCCATTGTTCAAATAAAATAATTGACTCCATTCAAGTCAACTTTAATTAGGAAGACATATTATGAAGAGAAGGTTGTTTAAATTAACTTTAACGGTTTTAAATATTTTACAAAAAAAAGCTTCAGATAAATTGCATACAACAATTGTGGCATTCCGGTATTGTATCTGAATAATCTGTACAGTCTTTGCGATGTCTTTTTAATTATACTTCGCTTTGTAAGACCCTTTTAGAAAACTTCTATAATTGTTCTTCTGTGCAAAATGGAAATAAAACTTTGCGGATGCAGGTATTTAAAAATAAATATATAAAAAATTGCCATTGTTTCCTTCCCTATTCCGTTTATGTTACAGCATGACGTATTAAAATTTACAATTTTCCACCATAAAATCGATAATTATTCCTATGTGCAAAGACGACCTAATTTATGAATGACTAGTCTTGTGCAACCATATAAAATTTTTATTACAATTCGTCTGTTATTATTAATTCTATCTATTTTTTTATAATAATATACATGGTATGTTTATTCTAACCTCTAATAATAATCCCTAAAGTGTTTTCTATTTATATTAATTTTGAAAATTAAATTTTCTAATATTTTGATGGAAGGCTGAAAAAAATTTTGCTTCTCTAATAAAAATACTAAATATAGTTTTTGTAATTCAACATTTTATTTCGAAAAAGTATGTTATACTATTAAAATATGCTATTATACAATGATAGAATTTTCGATCATTCTTTACCTTAGTCAACATGGATATTTCTAAGGAAAATTGCTCTTGTTGTCTACAAATTATGCAATTACGAACTGTCCTGTTTGGTAAAACGTAACCAAATCAGTTTATTATTACGTAGTTGTGTTCATCTCGGTGGGTTTTTCTTAGATATTTGTACAACGTCACGAATCCCTCCATGAGAGTTTTGTTTCGCAGTCCTATACTAAAGCGCAACTTACAGGAAAACATAAGATTATTGTGATTTTTTAAAATCGTATATATTAATTTACGAGTAAAACGGTAGCCTGCTCAAACAGGTGAGCAATTTAATTATAAAACATAGTTATTTTTTTTGTTTCATACTGTTTAACAGATATCAGAAAGGAATTGCCAATTTGTTTTTTAAGTCGTTAATCGTTGTGCTTGGAGTACTTGTTTTTCATGCCAACTACATACCTAGTTGCCTTTTTTAAACATTCAGGAATTCAATGATAATAATGTTATAGAGAATATTGTAATTTTTTACAGTATATTCTGTTTATATACTAGGGTTTATCTATTACATAAATATATATTTGAATTATTCTGTCATGTCACTACACGTGGTTCTTTATATCGTTAGTCACTCAGTGACTAAAAGCGCGAGTGTCTCGTTCATCCAGTCAGTCTCTAGTCGGCGATATAAGGTCAGGGTACAAGCGAGCCGAGTAACAATTAAAATATAACTTGCAAACTTGTGAAGTGAGTGCAGGAACAAACAAATAAAAATGATATCCATTGCTCTTGTTTTCTTAGTAAGTATTTTTATGTGAACTTAAAATAGGTTAACTTGATTAATAAAATAGGAGGCGGTTTACATATTGCTTCTTTGATGTTGTTTGAAATTTTAATATTATTTATCATTATGCTTTTGTTTAATTTTTAAAAAATTTATAAAACGCTGTTTGAATTATTTTAAATTGAATTCTTTATCAATTGAATTTTATAATCTTTAGTAAGTTATGCGCTCGGTCTATTATGGTTCCTTGTCTTTATTAAATACTGCCAATATTCTCATTAAATATACTTAAAAGTTCAGGAAATTTTGTATAGAATATTTATTTATTTCTTTTCTAACGTCCATTTTGTTTTAATATATAATAACAATATTATATCAATATTAAATCAGCTTCAAAATCAAGATAAATAAGTCACATGTATATTCATCACGATTGTAATTGATTATAATAATATTATGTATTTATCTACTTCCACGAACAATTTACCGCCTGTTGTCATTTTTAGAACCACGAGACTTCTCTGTTTATATCAAATAATATAGCAATTATTTAGAAATCTTGTTTATGTTATAAATATTTCATTGAAATAAAACATTGGTATTATTTTTGACAGGTTGCAAGTCAATATTTAGTCCCTGCCTTTGGAGCTGTTACAGGAAAAAGTAAGTGTTAATACATAATAATTTGGTTTTAATTCATATTGAAATATTTTATATTTAATTCTTTTGGGCTTTGTAGAAAAAACTGATACATCGATTCAGTTCCCCGAAGCGGCCGAGGAAGTGGCCGAGAAAAATCACAAAGATGTTCCTATCTCTTGCAAAGGACAGAATTATTGTACAGTAAAACCAGATGACTATCCGGAAGAGAAATTCAATGAAATGTTTAAGGGTTATGTAAGTTACATTTTTATATCTGTGGAAAATCATTGATCGAACATACATTTGCACACACACATACACACACTTCAGCCATGTGAGGTCCACAGCTGGACATTTGTTATTATGAAAAAATATTCGTGTTCACACGTATTTTTAAAATAAAAATTTGTTGTATTTTAAAGAATAAAATAATGTATATGTTTTAGAACGCTTTTCCTCAACCAAAACTAATATGGAATCCTCTACAAAATAAACAAGGTAGTGCAGATGAAAAAAATGACTGTGAAAGCGAAATAACTGTAAGTAAAGATATTAAATAGAACTTAGGAATATAATCATTATAAATAAGTCAAATAAATTTACATGTTTGTACCATTATCTAAGAGATTATTTAGGATGTTTAATATTTTTCAGTATGATGCGCTGTATAAAGTTAAGGAGAGTGGAGATAAACCTTGGCGTACTGTGGTACAAGCTCCGAATCGTGACTTTGTCCAAAAAGTGCGTCTAGAGAAATGCTTGTAAGTTAAAAAAATTATAAATTGTATTAATTATGATAACTCCATATTATACAAATAATTAACATTTCTATGTCACTGTTGTCTTAATTGTAAAATGTACAATTTTTCACTTACAATTTTATAATTTCGGGATGTTCTACTACCTAAGCATTAGGTTTCCAAAACAACGTATTTTTTTTGTTTTACTTTTGATCTATGAAGGTGGTAAACTAATCAGTGATTTTGAATTTTTTGAATTTTCTACGTGATTCAAGTAAACTGATTATTTCAGAAACACGGATGCTTCATGTTTCACATCGTTTTCATCTTATATCGGCTACAACACCCACTGCAAACAAACGTATGGCGTGTGGGAAGTCCTTGTTGCAAAAGGCGACAACCAAACAGAGCTTATCAAGGCTGAATTGCCTATTTGCTGCTCCTGTTACTACTCTAAAACACCATTAATTTTATCAAGAATAGATAAAAACAAACGTCAGTAGTCCCATAAATCTTAAAACTGGAGTACTTATAACTGTTATCACTATTATTTATTTGGCCTCTTAGTTACAATATTGTTTAAGTTTTACTATATATTTAAAAATAAATTCTTTAGAAAATAATATTTGTGAATAAAATAAATGAATAAATTATATAATTTTGATTAAATGTTTTAAGAAGCATTTGAATTTTATTCTGAGATGATATGATCCTATCTTTTAGTTTTTTATTTCATCATTTGAAATAATTAAATTCCATTTTTTCCCTTTTCACACTATACTCGTCAGCAATTGCGAATTATTGCTTCAGTATCACTTTAAGTTATTTGTATTTTTTATAATTTTTTTAGTTCTTTTTATTAATGACCCATAAAAAGTTTTCTTATCATTTTTATCGACCTTTATGGATAACAAATTCAAATTTACTCGATATAGGGTTGTTTGTGAAGTGAATCATTGTGACTATTTAAACAGCAAATTATATTATGTCATCTTCATAGCTTTATAATACAATATTAAATTTAAAAATTTGAAATTTACCTTTCGATAACTTGTACTAAAGACCTTATTATAAGAAGAAAATTTATAGGATTCTTTTAAAACTGCTCAACATAAATAACCCTTTAACATACTTCATGCCTTCGGCCTTCAGTCTTTACTATTGTCAATTCAATAGCTTTTGTTAATATTACAATGTGAATATATTTATGAGGAAAACTTAAGGTTACCATACAAATAATAATACCTTAAAGTCTGTGAATGTGTTGTCTCAAACGACTAAGATGTTATGTTTCTTTAAAAACTTATTAGACTACATACGGACAATAATCAGCAATTATATTAATAATAGTGAGTTGTTGTAAAAATATGAAAGATATTAGAAATATAGTTCTTAAAATTATATTGGGATATTTTTTAATTCATATATCTGCAAGTTAAATTAAATGTATAATCTTTTTTTTCCTGCCTTGATTCCACTTTATGTAGGGTCGACACAAGATTTTCTTCTCTTCCACAGAACATGTAGTAAATAGTAAATAGTTTTTTTGGCTAATTGTTTTTATGGCCGGCCGCCTGCCTGACATCAACTCTTTTTTGGGAATGCATTTATCAGTGATGTCTAAATACTCTTACAAAGTGCATATTACTCGGAAAAATCACATTGATAATTATTTCTATGTGCAAATGACCTGTTTTTGATGACACAGGAAAAATCATTTTACGAGCCGTCCAATCGGCCTTGGTGCGGCCGGAAGAGATGTGTGAGAGTTGGCCTGGGTAGGGGCCTACTCACCAAAACCACTGCGAAAGCCATCGGCCGCTATGTCAGTGTACCCCGGATCTGTCAGCTACAGGGCACACCAGCGACTGGCCGGTCCTGGCAAAGACCGGACTTACCCCCTCGGAGTATGGGGCGATCCTGGCTATTAGGACCGCCCCTACGACGAAGGGCTTTCACTGGAGTCGGGTTACCAAGCCAACCCCAGCCCGGAGCACAGGGATGCTATTGGAGGCGTTAGAATTGCCTGCGTCGCATCCCCGTACGTCGTCTGCGGTAGGAGGGTGCATCAGCCGCATCCTCCCTTTTCCCCGCACAGATGGCTCCTTCGTAGACATGACGGTCTAACAGAAGGAGGACACCGCCAGGCAGTACCTGTCACTCTACAGCATCTTCTCCTCCATACTAGAAAGCAACAAGTCCACTCTGCTGAGAGCCACCACGAGATCTTGGCGCTGCGCAACCCATCTCGGGTATGTGCTCGAGATATCTCGAGGGTGTGCTGGTTCGAGTCCACCGCAGCGCCGTACTTATGGTAGCCTCCTCTCGGTTCTCTCCTAGCCATCCCACACAAGTAGTAACCGAAGTTCCTAGGCCCGATGAAGACCTGCGTCAGACGGAAAGTGAAGGGTTTGCGTTTCCACCTCATCCATATGCAAAAATGTCCTAATTTATGGATGACTAATCTTTAGCAACCATATAAACCATCCATTTTTTATTAGAATCTGCCTGTTATTAATAATATGCATAATACGGTTTATTCTTATCTCCAAATTGCTTTGTAATTGTATTAGTTTTGAGAGTTATATTTTGCAGTCCTATACTAAAGTGTAACTTACAGTAAATCATAAAATTATAGTCAATTTTAAATTCGTATTTCTTGATGAATGTATATATACATTCATCAACGAGTTAAAAAATGCCTGCTGCCTCCAATATGATATAGTTTTTTTTTCATACTGTTTAACAGATATCTGAAAGGAATTGACAATTTGTTTTATTAAGTCGTTAATAGTTGTGCTTTTTAGTATTTGTTTTTGAAGACGAAAACTAAGTACCGTATTTAAATGTCCATGAATGCAATGAAAATATTATTAATAATATTGGATTTTTTTACCGTATATTTTATTAACCTACTGGGTGACAATAAATACATTAATATATTTGACGTAATCTGTCATTTCATTACACGTGGTTCTTAATATCATTAGTCATTCAGTGGCTAAAAGCGCGAGTGTCTCGTTCATCCAGTCAGTCTCTAGTCGGCGATAACTTGCAAACTTGTGAAGTGAGCGCAGGAACAAATAAATAAAAATGATATCCATTGCGCTTGTTTTCTTAGTAAGTACTTTTATGTGAACTTAAAATAAGTTTACTTGATTAATAATACGATTCCGTTAACAAGTTATTTTTCTGATGTTGTTTGGAATTTTAATGTTATTTATTATAGGCGTTTGTTAAATTTTTCATTAATTTATAAAACGCTGTCGTAATTATTTTAAACTAAATTCTTTATCAATTTAATTTATAATCTTTAGTATCTCTATTATGTATGCTATGGGTCTATTATGTTTTTTTGTCTTTATTATGTGCTGCCAAAAGTAACATTAAATATGCTTATAAGTTCAGTAAGTTTTCTATAAAATACTTGTTTATTCGTTTTCTAAAGTCAATTTTGTTTAAAATATTATAACAATATTATATCACCTTCAAAATCAAGATAAATAAGTCACATGTATAATATATATTCATCACGATTGTAGTTGATTATAATAATATTATGTAGTTATGTACTTCCAAGAGAATTTTACCGCGTGTTGTCATTTGTGGAAGCACGAGAGTTCTCTGTTTATATCTATTAATATAAAATTTATTTCTTAATCTTAGTAATCATATAAGCATTTCCTATATAAAAAGACATTTATTTCATTTAAATTAAATAATGGAATTATTTTTGACAGGTTGCAAGTCAATGCTTAATCCCTGCCTTTGGAGCTGTTACAGGAAAACGTTAGTTTATACATAATAAAGTTAATACATAATAAGTTTTAATTCATATTGAAATATCTTATATTTATTTATTTTTGCTTTGTAGAAAAAACTGATACATCGATTCAGTTCCCCGAAGCGGCCAAGAAAAATCACAAAGATGTTCCTATGTCTTGCAAAGGACAGAATTATTGTACAGTAAAACCAGATGACTATCCGGAAGAGAAATTCAATGAAATGTTTAAGGGTTATGTAAGTTACATTTTGTATCTGTGGAAAATCATTGATCGGACATACATTTGTTATAGCAACAAAAAATATTCTTCTTCACGCGTATGTTTAAAATGATATATAATTACTTGTAAATTAAAGAATAAAATAATAAATTTGTTTTAGAACGCCTTCCCTCAACCAAAACTAGTATGGGATCCTCTACAAAATAAACAAGGTAGCGTAGATGACGACAAAAACTGCGAAAGTCAAATAAGTGTAAGTAAAGATATTAAATGGAAATTAGTATGTAATATAAGGAAATATAAGCATAAATTTGTCAAACAAATTTGCATTTTTGTACCTCTATCTAGGAGATTATTTAGAATTTTTAATATTTTTCAGTACGATCCAATATATAAAGTTAAGGAAAGTGGAGATAAACCTTGGCGTACTGTGATACAAGCTCCAAAACGTGACTTTATACAAAAAGTGCGTCTAGAGACATGCATGTAAGACAAAAAAATGTATAAATTGTATTTATTATTATAATTTCATATTATAGAAATAATTGACATTTCTATGACACTGTTCTCTTAATTGTAAAATGTACAAAATTAATTGTTCACTAACGATTTAATGATGTCCAGAGGTTCTGCTACTTCTAGTATTACGTTTCGAAAAATAAAGCTTTTAAGGTTTTCCGTTTGATCGCTGAAAGACGTAAACTAACGAGTGGTTTTGAATTGGTAATCAGTATTCAAGTAAAATGATTATTTCAGAAATACAGATGCCAGGTGTTTCACAAAGTTTGCATCTAACGAGGGCTACACAACCCGCTGCAAACAAAGTTATGGCGTGTGGGAAATCCTCGTTTCAAAAGGCGACAACCAAACAGAGCTTGTCAAGGCTGAATTGCCAGTTTGTTGCTCATGTTACTACACTAAACCACCTTATATTTTATCAAGAATAGATAACGGCAAACGGCAGTAGTTCCTTAAATCCTTAAACCGGAGTACTTAAAACCTGATTTCACTGTTACTATATTGTTTAAGTTCTACAGCATATTTAATGACAAATTCTTTAAAAAATAATAATTGTAAGAACCTATTATGTAAATTATTTAAATATAATATTTATTTTGTTGTCCTATATTTATGACGCTATGCTATGTAATTTTGATTAAATGTTTTAAGAAGCATTTGAATTTTATTTTGACATAATATGTTTCATACTCATCTTACATTTTTTTACTTCATCATTTCAAAAATCATTGACATCAACAGAATTATTCTCTTTTCATAATTTACTCGTCAGGAATTGCATATTACTGCTTCAGTGTTATTTCAATTGTTAGTATTTTTCTTATAAACATGTTTAGCTATTTCTTTTTATAACTCATAAAAAGTTTTGAAGTCATTTTTATCGACCTGTATCCATAAGAATTATCAAATTATATACGATTGTTTGTCAAGTTAATCATTATGAATATTTAAAAAGTAAAATGCATCTTTATAATTCAATATTATATTAAGAAGTCTGAAAATTACCTTTATTGGAAAAAAAAATTATAGGATTTTTTAAAACTGCTCACCATAAACTACCCTTTAACATACTTCATGTTTACCTTTTATACCTTTACTATTGTCAATTCAACAGCTTTTGTTAATATTATAATGTGCGTATATTTATGAGATAAACTTAAGGTAACTAACTATACCAATAATAATACCTTAAAGTCTGTGAATGTGTTGTCTCAAACAACTAAGATGTTATGTTTCTTTAAATACTTATTAGACTACATACTGACAATAATCAGCAATTATATTAATAATAGTGAGTCGTTGTAAAAACATGAAAGATATCAAAAATATAGTTCTTAAAATGGGATATTTTTTAATTCATATATCTGCAAGTTAAATTAAATGTATAATTTCATCATCATTTGCCAATCTTGGTCCACTACTGGACATAGGCCTCTCCCAATTCACGCCACTATACCCGGTCCTCCGCCTTCCGCATCCAATCGACTCCAGCGACCTTTTTCAGGTCGTCAGTCCACCTGGCAGGGGGGCGTCCTACCTTACAGTAGCTGAGTCGCGGTCTCCATTCTAGGACTCGTCTGCTCCATCGGCTATCGGTCCTTCGGCAGACATGACCAATCTATTGCCACTTCAGCAAGCTAATTCTGCGAGCTACGTCGGTTACCTTGGCTCTTTGTCGGTTGACCTCATTGCGAACTTTATCCTTCAAAGAAACTCCAAGCCCATAGTTCGCTCCATAGCCCGCTGTGCGACTTTGAATCTAGGGACCAGTCCAACCGTCAATGTCCACGTTTCAGCACCGTAAGTTATAACAGGTAGGAAAAAAATTACATAATAAAATTTTTGAAAAAACAATAAAAAAAATTCTTCATCTGACATTCCGTTTTCAACATTTAAAGTTGCCACCATAACAAAGGGTGAAGTGCTGAAGGTGCGGGGCGGAGTAAAAGCAGTGTAAACCAGTTCAAAACTAGAATAGAATATGGTATTAAAAATTTGACATCACACCTACACTATCCATGTGCACTCACACAAATGCAAAGGTCAGCTTAAATCAAACGCACTATAATATATTATGCAGTTTTATTTCGTATTTTAACTAAAGCTTGATATATTTTATAAAATTTTAGCTTTCTCTATAACTTTATTTAATTTAAAGGGTACTTATATTTGAGGATACTAAAAAATTTTATGAAAACTTATATAAATTATCATGAATCTGAAAAAATTGATTCCGTTTATAATGTTACAATATGACGTATTTAAATGTACAATTTTCCACTATAAAATCGTTAATTATTTTTATGTACATAGATGACCTAATTTATGAATGACTAGTTTTAGGCAACCACATAAACAAGCTCTTGGTATACCGTGGCCCTGTCTAGGTGGCGTGGATGAGGAACACCCAGGGGTTTTAGTGGGTCGAAACCCCACATAACCCGGTCAAGTCCTCGCTCGGCCGGGTACCTGTGAACAGATTTCCCCTGGGAAAACAAAAAAAAAAACCACATAAAGATTTTTATTACAATTTGCATGTTATTAATAATATACATAATATGTTTTATTCTAATCTCCAAATCGCTTTGTAATTACATATACTAGTTTTGAAAATATTTTTTTTATATTCTGATGGAAGGATGAAAAAATATTTTGCTTGTCTTATAATAAATATTGAAAACATTTTTGTAATTTAACACTTTATGTCGAAAAAGTAGGACATACTTTATAAGTATGTCCGTAAGCAATGACAGAATTTTCGAACATTCTTTACCTTAGTCAACATGTATATTACTAAGAAAAATTACTCTTATTGCCTATAATTATGCAATTACGAATTCTCCTGTTTGGTAAAACGTAACCAAATCAGTTTGTTATTACCTGGTTGTGTTCATCTCGGTGGCTTGTTCTTAGATATTCGTACAACGTCACGAATCCCTCCCTGAGAGTTATGATTCGCAGTCCGATACTAAAGCGCAACTTACAGGAAATCATACAATTATAGTTAATTTTAAAATCGTATTCCTTGATGTATGTATGACATATGTATGTATTATATACGTAAAAAAGTTAGCCTGCTCAAACAGTGAGCAATTTAATTATAAAACAGTTATTTTTCTGTTTCATACTGTGTAACAGATATCAGAAAGGAATTGCCTATTTGTTTCATTAATCGTTGTGCTGTAAGTATTTGTTTTTGGAGACGACAACTAAGTACCGTATTTAAATATCCATGAATTTAATGATAATGTTATTAATAGTATTTGAATTATTTATAGTATATTTTGTTAACCTACTAAAGTATATATATTTGAATTATTCTGTCATGTCGCTACACGTGGTTCTTTATATCGTTAGTCACTCAGTGACTAAAAGCGCGAGTGTCTCGTTCATCCAGTCAGTCTCTAGTCGGCGATATAAGGTCAAGGTACAAGCGAGCCGAGTAACAATTAAAATATAACTTGCAAACTTGTGAAGTGAGTGCAGGAACAAATAAATAAAAATGATATCCATTGCTCTTGTTTTCTTAGTAAGTAATATATTTTTTATATGAACTTTAAATAGGTTTACTTGATTAATAATACGACGCCGTTAACATGTTTTTTCTTTGTTGTTGTTTGGAATTTTAATATCATTTATCATAGGTGTTTTTTTAATTGGTTATTAATTTATAAAACGTTGTCGGAATTATTGTGATTTCTTTGTATTTATTATGTGCTGCCAAAAGTTACATTAAATATGCTTAGAAATTCAGGAAATCTTGTATAAAATTTATATTAATTAGGTTTCTAAATTCAGTTATGTTTAAAAATATAATAACAATATTATATCACCTTCAAAATCAAGATAGATAAGTCACGTGTATAATATATATTCATCACGATTGTAATTGATTATAATAATATTATGTATTTATGTACTTCCAAGAACAATTTACCGCGTGTTGTCATTTATACAAACACGAGACTTCTCTATTTATATCTAATAATATTGCAATTATTTCCAAATATTGTTTATGTTATAAAAATTTCATTTAAATAAAAATCGGGAATTATTTCCGACAGGTTGCAAGTCAATGCTTAGTCCCTGCCTTTGGAGCTGTTACAGGGAAAAGTAAGTGTTAATATAATATTACTAGGTTTTAATTCAAATTAAAATATCTTATATTTAATTCTTCTCTGATTTGTAGAAAAAACTGATACACCCATTCAGTTCCCAAAAGCGGCCGAGGAATCGGTAGAGAAAAATCTTAATGATGTTCCTATTTCTTGCAAAGGACAGAACTATTGTACAGTAAAAACAGATGACTATCCAGAAGAGAAATTCAATGAAATGTTTAAGGGTTATGTAAGTTACATTTTATACCTATGAAAAACCATTGCTCAGACATGCATATATTATGTATAGTGAAAATATATTCTTGTTCATACTTATGTTTAAAACGATTATCAGTAGTAAATTAAAGAATAAAATAATTGATTTGTTTTAAGAACGCCTTCCCTCAACCAAAACTGGTATGGGATCCTCTACAAAATAAACAAGGAAGCCCAGATGACGAGAACGACTGCGAAAGCGAAATAAGTGTGAGTAAAGATATTAAATGGAAATTATGAATATGAATAAGAATTATAATCATTATATATTAGTCAAATAAATTTGCATATTTGTACCTTTTTCTAAGAGATTGTTTAGGATGTTTAAAATTTTTCAGTATGATGCGCTATATAAAGTTAAGGAGAGTGGAGATAAACCTTGGCGTACTGTGATACAAGCTCCGAAACATGACTTTGTACAAAAAGTGCGTCTAGAGAAATGCATGTAAGTCAAACAATTTATAAATTGAATTAATTATAATGATTTCATATTATATAGATAATAATTAACATTTCTGTGACACTGTACTCTTAATTGTAAAAGATGCTATTTGTATTAAATTTCACTAATAATTTAATTATCTCTAAAAGTTCTGCCTCCTCTCCTAGTATTACATTTCGAAAAATAGGGCTATTCATTGTTTTCCCTTTGAACTCTGAAGGTCGTAAAGTCTTAAGTGATTTTGAATGCGTATCCATTTTCTACATGATTCAATTAAAACGATTATTGCAGAAATACAGATGCCACGTGTTTCACAAAGTTTACATCTGACTTCGGCTACACAACCCACTGCAAACAGACGTATGGCGTGTGGGAAGTCCTTGTTTCAAAAGGCGACAACCAAACAGAGCTTATCAAGGCTGAATTGCCTATTTGCTGCTCCTGTTACTACGCCAAAACACCTTTAATTTTATCAAGAATTGATAAAAACAAACGTCAGTAGTTCCTTAAATCGTTAAACCGGATTACTTACAACCTGATTTCACTGATATTAATTTGGACTTTCAGTTATAATATTGTTTAAATTTGACTTTATATTTAATGAAAAATTCTTTAGAAAATAGTATGTTATTGTAATAAAATATCATGTAAATTATGTAAATATAATATTTATTTTGTTGTTCTATATTTATGACACTATAGTATGTAACCTTGATTAAATGTTTTAAAAAGCATTAGTATTTTATTCTGAGATGATACATGTCTATTGATCTTCAGTTAATTTTTTTTTATGATTTTATTTTCCAGTTTTTTACTTCATCATTTAGAGAAAATCATTAACATTAATATAATTATTACCTTTCATACCCTACTCGTCAGCAATTGGATATTGCTAGTTAGAATTGCTTTAAATTATTTATAATTTTCTTATAAATCTGTTCAGCTCTATTTATTTATAACCCATGAAAAGTTTTTGAGTCATTTTTATCCACCCTTATTGATAACAATTTTCAAATTATATAGGATTGTTTGTCAAGTTAATCGTTGTGATTATTAAATAAGTAAATTGTATTAAGTGATCTTTCTTTTATAATTAAATATTAAATTAAAAAATAATAATAATTCAGAAAATTAACATTTTAATAAATATACTGAAAGACTTAATTATTGGGGAAAAAATATAGAATTTTTTAAAACAATATGATCACTATAAATCATACTTCATAGAGAGCCCTTACACCTGTCCTTTTAATAACTTACGTTAATATTATAATGTGTGTAGGTTTATGACATAAACTTGAGCATACAAATAATAATGTCTTGAAGTCTGTGAAAGTTTTGTATCAACCGATTATGATGTCGTTAAATAAAACTAATATTTCGCGGATATACTACGCGACTTTATTTTTGATAAAGATTTACGGTCACCGTGATCACGGGCAGACGAGATGTGAGTGTCTGTCAGTCGGTCTCGTTATTTTATCGCCTACTGCCATCGATTTCTTAATATTCTTGCGTACCGCTCTGGATGCCGCAGAAAGCGCCCACGGTGTCCCGCGGTCCTGCGGTGTTTTCACAGACATGGGATTTTATATTTTTAAGAAGAGGATCCCAGGTGTTTGAAAGATTCCAGAATCTGGTATTTATAAAAGTTAACGTCGTCAAAATTTTCAATCTGAAAAAAATTATCGAAATTTTATCAAAATTATACAATTTTAAATATCAATTTTAGATACCGCAGGAAATTCCACAATTTGATTTTTTTTAATATTTTTTTTAAATAATTCGTTTTCCCTAAATATTAAAATATATTTTTGTACAATAATAGTAATAGTTAGAGTATTTAGACATCACTGATTAATGTTGATTCCCAAAAGTGGGTTGATGTCAGGCAGGCGGCCGGCCGTAAAAACAAATAGCCAAAAAAAACTATTCACAACATGTAAGGCAGACCCTGGCTATAGCTGGGAAATTGCCAGGTAGAAGAAGAAGAAGAATAGTAATAGTTATAAACTATTATTCATTTAAGTAATATTTATCATATATATTTTTTAAGATTTCTTCAAAAGATTTTTCTCTCTGATTAGTTTAAAACATACACATAAAGTGTATATTTTTATTAAAAGTATAGTAAATGTAACATTGCTTTAACCTAAAATCTCCCAGCAAATCTAGTTCTGCTTGCTAATTTTAGATGGAAATACCTAACATTTTGTAATCCATACAAGGAAAATTCGTAGAAGTTATATTTATATCAAACTAGTTTTGGGTTGCGACTTGATCCAAGTGAACTTTAGGATTGGACTTGTATAATTGACCTGGTGAACTCTTCCGCCTTAGATTTAAAATTCGCACAGTAGTTCTTCAATTAATTATAAATAGTGTATGTAACTAATACCACTTTTTAAATTATGAATATTGTTTAAAAGTTTGATATTGTTTCTTTTATTTATTTCATTCAAACTGAAATGCCATAAGACCTATAAATAAAATTTAAGTATCTGTTTATAATATTGAAACAACCCTTTTTTTACAACATGTATATGAATATGTTTATATTGTACGTACATCTAAATAACATTTTTTAACATTTTTATTTGTCTCTCTGTCTGTTTGTTTCAGCGAATCTCTGAAATTGCTGGACGAATTTGCGTGACCTTTATTGCTAGATGGCTGATGTAATTAGGAGTTTCTTAGGCTTTTTGTCCCGATCCTGGAATTAAGCGTTATCACCCGCTTAAGGGAGATGAAGCGCATGCGGCGATTAAAAATTATTTCATTGTTTTTTTTTACACAGACCAAGTCGCGGGTAATAGCTAGTTATTCCATAAGTTGATTTATGTTTATTTCACCCAACATTTCGAAATTAAAATATTATTCTGTTTACTTCCAATTTTATATACAAAACTATTATCAATTGGATTAATAGTAACTGTTGTTGGTTAAAATTAAGTCATATGCGTCAATTCATATTCACTGTGGGAATCCTCATGGACAATATACATATTTGTTGCGGTGCTTGTTATGAAGAAAAAAATTGTTTATTGACATAAATTATGATGTTATTTAAAGAAACTTTACTAACTTATGTTATTTAAAGAAACTTTATTAAATGAAATATTCGTAAGGATATTTTAAACATGGAATTATAATGTGATTGCTATCGGTTCAATGTTTCAATGAAAAATATATTTTACAAAACCTACCTATACTTTTCTATAAATTTTCAATTAAGAGCACATAAAAATATACAACAAACCTACTGTAACTATGATTATAAGTTTTCGACTATTGACAACAAACAAATTTTTTTATAGTATCTTATTTTTATTCAAAGATTATTCGCGTTTGCAAATTTCTAATAATTAGTCATTATTTTACTTGTCTTTCAGTGTACTTTCTGTATACTATGACAGAATATCATATATCTTGTGGGTAAAAGTTAACCTAGATCAAAAATAGATGAGTAACAAGTTTCTAGTATGTGGCAAGAGAAACTTTCCAATAATTTTAGTAATTATATTGATAAAAATTTAATTATTTATAACAAAGTAAAGAATTCTCACAATTTTTGTAACAATATTGTCATATTTAAATTTGTAATAGAGACGAAACACAAAGCTAGTAACTTAAACGTAAAAAAAATATCCAAATACTAATATAATTAGGCATAAATCAAAAACTTTAGAACTTTTAAATAGAAGGGTTTTAATATTTATTGTAAAGTTTACTACCACCCATTTGTTATTGCATTAGATGGTTTTGGTTCAAAATGAAAAACAAGAACATCTTAATAAACAACGAGTCATCCTAAACAATCAACCATCCCACAATATCATTCGTAAGTCGGGTCACAATTTAATCATAATTATTACTAACGACCTGTATTTAAAGAACAAACCCAAACAAGATGAAAATAAACATTTTCGGCAGTACTATGATATAAATTAAAAGGATAATGTCATGATTATATGACACGCTATTAATGTTATGCAATTGTTAATTGTCCTGCTTTGTAACCTTAATAAATATTTGCGTCTATTACGTAGTTTTGTTATCACTACAAGGGTTTTCTCAATGTATGCAACTTTGTGTCTTCCTAATACGTATAGCTGTTCATTAAAACGCAACATACAGTAAATTGGTATGCACTATAACTTCTTTAAAAAATTCAAATATAATTTTTATAAATATTTACTTTTATTAATTAAGATTAGTGAATTTGAGCAAAAATCATTCCTGCAAATGAAAACGAGGTAAAAACATCGGTTCATCAATCATGTTATCATTTATCGCCAATATTATTACCTTTAGAGAAATTTTTAGGGTTATTCCCATACTTATCACCCACCTGTGAAAAAAGAAAATTATTGACATATAGTTCTGGATTGACTTGCGTTTGCGAGTTTGAGATAAGTCAAAGAATTTGTTAATTTTTTTATGCTAAAGGGCCCAACCGGCCCTACGGCCTACCTTATAGAGGTAGTTACCATCGCTCATGGACATCCGCAACATAGTTTTGCGGGTACATTGCCACCCTTGATTGGGGAAGAGGAGGAAAAAAGGGTGGGGAAGACGAAAGATCAACCGGCTCATTGACTCATGGGACGAAACACAGCCATTAAAGTTACTGTTAAGGGTGGTACTTCTTCGGTCGAGACAGCCCATGTTCGAGCTGCGGTAACTTGACCACAGCTCATTCACCTCAATTTGAGATTACAGTTACAGTTCTGGGTACTAAACCTACATAAATGAAATAAAGGGATGCTATTTTTATTGGGTCTCTAGACTGCTCAATTTCTGAGGTGTAACTAAATATCCTGTATAAATATTTCTGTTAGTGATTCTCTAAGATTTCAGGCCATAGCACAACCGACGGACTTTCAGCATCACTTCATATAGTGTGATTTTATAGATTTTTAATTCATATTGCTGGCTTACTTTCTTGACTCATACATAGTAGGATTTGTTAATAACATATGTATATAAAAATTAATTAATTTATAGTCAAAAAATAAAATAATTAAGACCTTTTTGCAATTGCTAGTAAGTAGGTTTATAGAGTTAAATATATTGGGTTTTACTACGAATTGGTGATATGCTTTTATTTTTGGAAAGGCACGTCATTTTTATTTCATATTATTTAATGATAAAAAATAATATTTCCGAGAATAATGCTTTTCAAGTGACGTGAACTCATTTGTTTATTCCTTAAAAGTTCTTTTTACATATTGTCTTAAAAACAACTTGGAATTAATTACTTATTATTGTATTATTACAAATTTTTAAAGAAACTTTTAAGGGATATAAAACTGGCACATACAATATATCATAAACTAATAAAAAGAAATAGGTTAATAAAGTGACTACTTGGGTTAATATTAAATTTAATTGTTTTCCTGTGCGTTGTTCATAAAATTCTTAGTCATGTAGTCGCTTATAGAACGTATGTTTTGAGTGAGACAGTTCATTTAGTAATAAAAGCTCGAGGAAGAAGCTAGTAGAGCAAGTTGTAGCGAGTTTAACAATTTGACTTACTTTGTTCAGTGACATAAAACAAAACAAAATGCTGGCCATCTTGTCCGTATTATTTGTGAGTAATTTTTATGTATCTATTAATTCGTATCGTAATAGATTTTTTTAAAATATTTCCATGTGGGAAATAATCACATATTTATTCATTATATATTATTACTCGATGATCATTAATATAAAAACTGTAACAAAGAATAACTTTTTAATTTGTAGGTACATTATAATAAGCATTACTAGTAATATTTAAAATAAGTGTTAGTTTGCATTTTTTGCAAAACGAATTCCATCGTACATCATTTATCCTAAGACCTTTTATGGAACACTTACCGTTCTGGTATGACCTTGGATATTACTTTTAACCAATTGTCGTCGACGTCTTTTTACAACAATGGACACGCAGCTAAGTGACGCCATTGGGAATTAAAACATACCAGTAATGACAATTTTTAATGAACAAACATTACGAGTATTAAAGAGGATTGTGTTAAAAAATTTAAGGAAATATGATACGTATATAAAAAATGTAGGAATTACAAATGTTATGAATAAAAATTATGGTTAATGAAAATGAATATCTTTTACATTTACAGATTGCCTGTCAGCTGTTGAACCCTACTGTCGCAGCGATAACGGAGAGAAGTAAAGATAAAAGTAATAAATTCTACATATTTCTAACATTAAACTAAACGTAACAAACTTGAGATTTTAATAAAAGTAGAAATAATTTTTATAATTAACTTAAAACTCTATTTACAGGTAGATGTGATGATGCGATTCTGTTTGTTGAACCGCTTGAAGTTGTAAATACTAATGACTATGACAGAGATGTTCCCATTTCATGTAAGGGACAGACGTATTGTACCATCAAAACAGACGATTATCCAGAAAAGAAATTTAATGAAATGTTAAAAGGACGTGTGAGTAAAATTATTATATAAAAAATTATCTTATATAAAAATAAGGAGTCCTAAGCTCAGGGAATCTTACTTTAGTTCCATTATATTTAATACAAATACTTGGATACTATATAAAAACAATAAATTTGAATATTAAGTTTTGCTTCTCATAATCATTATAGCAAGAACCAGAATATTATAATATGTTTTAATACACTACTTGAATAAAGCGGTTCACAATATTATTCAATAAATTTTGTTTATTCATTTGCAGAAGGCTTTTCCACAACCACAGTTATTATTGAATCCTCTTCAAAATAAACAAGGAGATCCAAATGATAAGAACGATTGTGAAAGCGAAATAAGTGTAAGTAAATTATATTATAATTACTTATAATATTTAAGTGAAATTACTAGTGATCTGAAATATGTAAGAAAGATATAAATTTGTTAAAGAGATTCGTCATGATGAAATAACTATTATGAGTTATAAAGAAATAAAATTCAGATATTCTTAACTTAATTTTTTTTTACAGTATGAACCATTGTATAAAGTTAGAGAAGGAGTTGATAAGCCTTGGCGCTACGTTGTCCAGTCTTCAGAGCATGATTATATTCAAAAAGTACGCCTAGAGAGATGTCTGTAAGTAAACATTATGGGTATACATTTAATATAGGTTTAAATTTTTATATCAATTTAACAATATATTTTTTATTTTAGTAACCCAAATGGTTCCTGCTTTACCCAATTTTCTTCTTTTTTGGGCTACGGGACTTACTGCAAGCAAGAGAATAGTTATTGGGAAGTATTAGTCTCTAAAGGCGAAAATGAAACAGAGCTCATTAAAGCAGAGCTGCCAGTTTGTTGTTCATGTTATTACTCAAAAAATCGTTGAATTAATACCAAAATTAATGTTTAAACCACATAATTATATAAAATGTGACGAGGCGATAATTCTTTTTAAAACGATCAAATTCACGCTATTCCTTAAGTCCTATTATTTTATTAAGTAATTTATTTTAGTATTAAGTATTTTAAGGCTTCTTAATGTATACAAAAAAGATGTTTTATTTTTAAGCATTTGTTGATAGTATGATTATTAAATACAAAAGGACTATTTGGTTGTTTATTTAAATTTTTTCCTCTTGAGACCACGTCAGTGACAAATAAAAGTATGGCTAGCCTTGTAATTATAGCCAGCGCTACTTAGGATATTATTCTTTCGATGCCTATATTTCAAAAATAATTGTTCACTTCATTCTTGGAGAAAATCCGTATAAATCCATAAGTTTCAAGGAACACGTCCCTTTATATAGTTAGAACACACAGCAAAAGTAAGTGTGTGCGAGGGTGTGGGTTCGGTGTCACTGACAATCCTCACAGATTCCTGAATGGAGTCAAAAAGTTCACGTTTAAATATTCCTTTGTTTGATGATTATTTGGGTATTCATACTATTAGACGATCAGAGAAGTGGATCAACGTCCAAGTTCAAGTTTGAGGATAATAGAGTATGCTGCAGTTAAATATTTGGGTCTGATGTAGCTTGGATCGCAGATCAAGACCTGAATTTAGGTTCCTTACTTTTTTAGCTTTATTGCTGAACTTATTGAGTAAGGCCTTTTTGTTTATTTTCAGACTTTCTGATGAGAAGAAAAGATGTTTATGAAAAATGTATGATGCGTAAAACTCACGTTAACTAAGATATTCTGCTTAATTATACTATCACACTTATCGTCAACCAATGTGTTTAAGTGAATAAGCTTAATAAATTAAATTAAAACCTCCATTTGTTTCGGTCGCTTCTATGAAGATAAAATATCCATTAGAGCTTAAAGTTAAGTTAATATGTTAAGAAAGTTAAGTTAATATGGCCCATAAAGAATACTTATGATCCTTAATGTCCCATGTTCTCCTAATTTTCAAAGATTGAAATTCTTATTGATAAAATAACTATATGTAAGAATATAAAAGAGGGAAAGGGGGAATGAAATACATGAAAAGATCCACGCTGTCCTTGGATCGGGTATAAAGCCATTCTTGTAGAAGAAGAACTCGGGAGACGAACATTGCACAAATTCAAAAAATCTACTGATACCGGTTGGGGTTTGAACCCACGACCTAACCGATCAGTGTCGATGCTGTAACTAACCAACTGAGCTATCAACTGTGTCACGCGGGAGTGAGACTGTTTCTTAATAAACTTTTAAATCTTATAATGTTCAATGTATTAAAACATGGTTTAAACATATAGAAATCAAACTAATGACATTAACTTGACTGTATTTTACATGTAAATGACTATTTGCAAAAATACATTGTGGTGAAACAGTCAATATATCAATTTATTTGTTTAAACAGTTCTGTCATATATCATTATATTCCAGCTAGTATATTAATGATGCCGACAAGGCACCACTATCACACTCAATGCTGATGGTCATAACTAGGGATGCAAACTTTTTTCTTTAAATGGATATTTTCATTCGCTATGTAGGGTTGTTTATGGTACCAAGTGTTCGAAATTCGCACAAGATCAAATTTCCAAAAAAATCATATATCCTTTGCGTCTCATAGAATCTCTAAACGTATACTCCGAACTCCTGTACTTACACCTTGAATTTACCCTCAGTCCTAACTGTAAGCCTCAAGAGTCTTGCAGGCTTGGTCTTGTTCTTGCTTAAATCTTGCACAGCCAGTCTTGTTTTTGCTAAAATTACCCGGTCTTGGTCTTCTTCTTGCAAAAATGCAAGAACCAACACTGCTAGATCAAGACCGATTTTGGGCAACACTATATAAAAGTAAAAATATATTTGTATCTTTTTATACTATTTAAGAAGAAAAAATATGTTATAAAATAACTGCATCAATGCTTAAATAATGCACTTAATGATTGTATCAAGACCATGAAAATGACTTTATAAAGTGAACTAAGACCGGTTTTTCATTGGAACAAAACATTATGTAACTGCAACGGGGAAATACCGGAAAGGTATTGTGTCTGGTATTAATCTAATTATACAAAAACTCCCGTCTACAATGTCTAACAATGAGTAATACAAATTAAAAGTGTAACTTTGAACAAATACGCACAACATATTAAAAAAATAAATATCAAAGAAGTAAATTTAGATCTGTTACAATTAGGAAAAATGGCATGTTCTAACCTCTAAGCTCTTTTTTGGCACTCAAATGAAATTTATTTTGTCATTTACTAATTATAATTTATTACAATTGCAAAAAATGGTACGTTCAGGCATAAATGTGATACCGAATAAATATGCAAACTATTATTGTATATAATATAAAATACCTGGTTGAACGGTCTAGTGTTATACAAAAGTATTTGACGATTTTAAACTAAAATATGAACAACCTTTTAGATTTGCGCTCGCATGTTCTATGCACTTACTACTGAGAATCATGTTTACTTATTTCTGAAATAATAAAAATTAAAACCAATTAAATAAAGACATTTAATTTGCTTCATTACTTAAACCGGTTGTATCACAAGTAACTTTGTATCATATACTCGTAAATTGAAAAATGACGTTATACATAGATAATTAATAAACGCTTTATAGGGTTTTGTTTAACAAATAACATTAAAGAAACTGGAATTAACGCGATTTGATTTTTGCACCCTACCTGACTTTTCAGTTACGTTGAACTGGTTGTGGTCACAATCTCAGTACTGAAGTGATGTCACCTATCCCAGGATGATGAATCATCACTCACCTTGTTTTTTGTTATTTTATTAATTTTTAAATTTTCCAATAATAGTTTTATAAAAAGAACTTTTTACAAGTTTTATTTTAAATGTGTTATTCTTTATTATGATTATTATCATTTGATTATCATATCATAGGAGTGCATAACACAAAGTAATCATTACAATATAAAATTACATACTGTTTTTTTTTTATGCGAAAGGGGGCAACCGAGCAGACGGCTCACCTGATGGAGGTCGTACCGTCACCTATGGACATCTGCAATGTAGATTTGCAGATGTGTTGCCACTCTTTATTGGGAATGAAGGGGAATACAAGTCGGAAAGGGAAAGAAAAGGAGAGGGTAGGAAAGTGTGGGAAAAAGGAAAGCGCATCCGGCTCGAGAGAGTCGGAGGCTCATCGGACAAAACGCAGCCATTAAAGACTACTTCACGCCGATCTTCTGTGAGAGAGTGGTACTTCCCCGGTCGAGCCAGCCCATGTTGGAGCTGTAGTAACTTGACGACAGATAGGTTCTACCACCTCAAAAGATCAAGTCCTAACGGCGTAATACAGCTAAACAGCTAGCAAAATTAAGTTTGTTTGCAACATTGTGAATCAATAAATTACAGATCTTCTTTAAAACAGTAACGCAAAATTCCACCCCAATAAACATTGCAAGATAAATAAAAAAAATATTACAGATTATATCCATGACTTCCTTTAATATACTATTTATTTCATAAAAAAATTATTCATATTATTTAAATACAAGGTCTTTGGTCCAATTAGACAAAAGCACACGAGTAAGCCAATTATTCGTTTTAAGTTTAATTAGTTCCAAAAAATTAATTTAAACATAGTTTGTTACGTCAAATGTTATTAGTTCAGACATACATTTTTAAAATTAGTCCGACTTAAAATAAGTAGCTTTTTCTTACAAATAAAATATCATTCGCACCATGTCGTCTTCTTATTTATTGATAAATAATTATTAAGTGCCTTCACCAGTTAATTTGATTCACCAAAGAAGAGAATTTCATAAATACAGAAATGATTTGCGAACAGTATACATAAAGAATGTGAAGAAGTTTAGCGACGTTGTAAAGATAGCCTTGTTTTGTACTCGTATATAACAGGAAAAGTAATCGAAATGACAGCATTGTCCCTTTACTTTTAACCCGATTATTATCTTCAGTTGCTGTACAATTGATGTTAATTATAGGCCATAAAACTAAATACTTAATAACATAATTTAATGAGAACACTCATTACTTATTTATTACTTAATACTCGGTCGTTAGCAAAGCCTGGCTGTTAATGTATAAGGGCTCAGAGAGCGGCATAATGTTATCTCAAAAGTAATAAAAATATCTATTATTAGCGTTTGTCTAATGAGCTTAGATGAAGGCAGAATTTTTTGGATTAGTTTCCATTATTAACCACAATTACTATCTTGAGACACAATATGTTTTTTGATATATGAACAAGTATTATAAAACCTCAGTATATATAAATTGAGTACCTACTAACTAATAATAACTAAATTAGTGCAAATAGTTAATAGGTGTTCGCAGAAAACAGAATAATTTTTGTCAATCCACCTTGTCTCCACAGTTAATCTTCGATAAATAGGGCTAATTTGTAATTTGAAATGTCTAAGCAATTATTAGGATTATAAGAAAGTAACATAAAATTGTGGTGTTATTAATATTTATTAATTTAAGAAGAACTCATAATTGGGATATATTGGCATTTCCTCAAAATATTAAACAAGTACTACAAGAACTATAAATAAATTTATGTAACAATGTTAAACAACTTTTATAAATAATTCTTTTATAACTTAATTGTTTTGTCAAGTTTCGTTTAAGTGGTGAGTTTTTTTTGGTAAATTTGCATTTCATTATATCAGAATTTTATCTTATTTTAAGTGAAGATATAGCTAATAGTGTTTTGAACTAACAGCAATCAAATTAAGAGTGAGAGTTGAAACAAGTTTTGAGGTATAAATAAATTTTGCGTACTTTCACACCGGTCGAGGTTGACCGGTAGTCGATACAAAGAAACGGCTTTTATACAAATAAGTTAAATATTCCTGGAAACATTCATTGTGTTTTATTTTAACGATTCCATAATTACCTATAAAAATTATAAATATAAAAAGTAAATATATTTTATTCCTTTATTTACAACAGATATAAATAGAATTAAAAAGAGGTATCGCTTTAAGAGAAATCTTCCAGCTATTATCATTGCTTATTTTTGAAATATTTTTATATTTTAATAAACTGGAATATTAAGTTCACAATTTCTTATCAGAACACTAGACTTGTATAAATCTTCCTAAGTATTAAACTTGCAAATGTTCGTTCATGCAACCTGCTTAGAATTAAGTGGATTATATTTATAACTTATATTAGGGACTTATTCAAATAATAAATTGTGCTCTTAGTACCTATTTTATACAGCTAACAAATTTTAGTGTTTCCAGGTTTAAAAGTATTATTATACATAAAATAAAATTTATTAGTTTGACACAAAAGTAAAAGAAAGAAGTTGTATCATTACTTCAGATTTTAAATGGTATCGAATACAAGTAAAATGGAGCTGATTTTAAATGACTAGCAAAAAAGATGTTGCGAAAATAAGAGTTGAATTTTTTAAATTTATTTTTAATGAAATGTAAATAATTACACTCAAAAATAGTTAAACTTTAAATAAAGATATAAAAACTAAAGGAAAATATGTAATAATAATGCTTAAGTAGTCTCCATACAACTTTTTTCTGACGCCCATTTTGAATAAATAAATTTAAGAAAATATATTGTTAATTTATTTGAGATTTTCATATCAAGTTAAGATCACAGCCCCGTTGTTAATAAGGCAAGTCACATCCATGTACCATTATATAGTAAGAAATAATAATTTTGTCCTTAACCTGGGCAATATGCCAGAGTTGAATAAACTGTTTACATTGTTTACATACTTCACATTTATAAAAATGAATTATATTGGATTATTTTTTATATTATTGGAGAGTATTATTAGGTAATATACATCCATCACTTTAGCTAGATACATACGTATTTATTTATAAACATTTATAAACACAATAAAACGAAGAGTTATGGTAATGAATGTGATATTTATCTTTAACAGTACATAGCTAGTTTTATGAGGAAACACTATAGTATGATAGAAATGTTTAAATAGAAAGAAACAAAGTGTCAAAAGACATTTAAATTATAAGGCAGTGTTAAGTCACCTTTCCCACCAGTTACATGTAAATAACATAAGCCTAACAAAAAACAACTCACAGTATATTTAAATACAAATCTGTAACTTGTATTTAAAAATAATATACTAAAGACTGCTAAATAGCAAAACTTTCCCTTTGACATCTCTTTTAACTACATGAAAAATGAATCCGTAAACTTTGTGATATGAAATATTTTGCGTGACTAGTTCGACCTTTACAATATCATGATACATAGAGCTATGTTTAAAACAACATAAACAAATGTTTAAACTAACCTACACATGTAACAATGCATTTACATAGCACATCTATAAATTCAAGCAAAGAATGTATTTTTTATTTGAGAATTCACACACAATAATAATGACCAAAATAATAAGTAAAAAAATAAGATGAATGTGTCAAAAGATTTTTTTACAATTACATGACACTGTGAGTTTTGTCTCATAATAAAAATAACTATATTTCATACAGTAGTATTATGTCTATGTTTATAAATTAACATTAGAGTCGTTAATTTCTATGTGTCATTCACAAATCATCAGCAACAGAAATATATCCTAAGATTTATAAACAAAACACCTTGAAAATATATTTCTTATGATGATGATGCAAACTAGATACAAGTATTTGTGATCTTTATTAAATATTAATTCATCTTAAATTTTAATCAAACACAATAAATACTATGATATGATTCTTTTATCTATACGATTCTTTTAAACGCATTATCATTTTTATAACATTTAATGATATTTTTATGTTTAAGTGCATTAGTTTATCGCTGTAGATTATTTTATTTCTAGTATTATTAGTAGTTATAAGAGTATTTGTATTTAACGTCTCATGGTCTTACTGAGTTAGGTACTTGGTTTACAAAAAAAATTAACACAACTATACATATTGACAAATATGAAATAAGGAAATATTTTTTTATTATTGAGTATAGTTTAATATTTCATCAATCTTACACCATCAAGAAATATCATTAATGCAATTTAAATTATTTATAATAGGATTGTAGGAAATAGTTTTGGGTGTTAATACCTACTAATATTATAAATACGAAAGTAACTCTGTCTGTCTGTTACGCTTTCGCGCTTAAACCACTGAACTGATTTTAATGAAATTTGGTACAGAGATAGAGTTGACCTTGAGAAAGAATATAGAATTATCCCAGATTTTTGAAAGGTTCTCTTGGAAACGCGATATAATCGAACTCCACGAGGGCGAAGCTGCGGGCGGTAAGCTAGTCTAGAATATAGCAGATACAATTCTAATTAAATGAACGGACTTTAAATAACTTATTCATTATAAATAATTACTTGGCATCGCATTAATTAATGATTCATATAGTGTTTCACTTAAATCGTCAAGAAATATTGTAATTAATATTTTGTTATTAATTTTTTATAATAACTATTTATCTGTGATTCAATTATAGAACATAATTTATAAATGATGTACAGAGATTTGCAATTAGAATAGAAGTAATATTTTTATTAAAAATATATATCTTAATTTATAAAAGCATAATTTAGATAATTAAAAACTTTTATTAAATGGGAGATGATGATATATTTTACGCGTAACAACTGACAGTTAAAGTTTGTAATAAAAAACTAATTTTTTGCAGAATATAAAAAAATGCGTTTATAAGGATAATTTTTTAAAGTATTTTCATACTTCAAAACTCTTGGAATTAAAGTAACTGACGAAAAGAGTCACTTAAAAGATAGTATTTGACAATGTTTGTAAATTGGGTTTGTTAAAATACCAATTATCGAATCAGCCAAATTATTAAAATATCTCAACAGCTTTCAAACAGCTGTTAACCCGGTTCTAGATTATTTGGTCGTGTTTACATGAAGCGGCCTGGTAGATTAATGACGTAAGTAAGTTCATC